TGAATATTTGGGTAGGTGGTGCTGTTAAAGAAAGTAGAGCAAGAGGAATAGGACCTGGAAAGAAGATAATGAGCGTAGGATGTGTTGAATCTGAATTTTTGAGTAGAAATCTAGATGGTGATGTCCATCAGTTTACCAGAAACTCAGGACAAATGTCCTGGTTACACATATAGGTTTGGTAGCTAATCAAATTCCATATTCTTAAGTACATCTTTGTTTTTCCTTCATGATCAGAACAGAAAGAAAAGACAGAAAAATAGGGATGGTATGGATGGTTTCGATCAGTCAACATTTTCCAGAGAAACAGAACCAAAAGGATACACATTTATCTTCTATGTAGGAATTGATTATTGTGAGGAATTGATTTACATGATTGTGGAGGTTTTATGAGTCCAATATCTGATTGAGGACTCTGAGAGGCTTGAAAACCAGGAGAAAGTTACAGTTCTGGACCAAAGGCAGTCTGCTGGAAAAACAGGAAGAGCCTATACTGTAGGGAAGTCCAAAGGCAATTTCCTTAAGGATCACCTTCTGCTCAGGGAGTGAGCCTTTTGTTCTATTTTGGCCTTCAATTGATTGGATTAAGCAATCTGTTTTGCTTAAAGTCAGTGATTGAAACGTAAATCTCATCCAAAATGCCTTCATAGAAACATCCAGAATGTTGTTTGGCCAAATTATCTGGGCATTGTGGCCTAGCCAAGGTGACACATGAAAGTATTACAGTGTACATGTGATAAATCCTTCTCATCTTACTGACTTTATACACATATATCTTCTATGTAAAGTTCAGTGCAATAGCAAAATTTATAATAGTCATTAGTTGGTATGGAAGAAAATCCCCCCTGGAAGACAATGGCCTTCATTATTAGTTATCCCCAGAAAAAGAAGAATGGAACATTTTCTGTGTACTTGGGACTGCATGAGCTATTATCTGCTGGGGTCTGAAGTAATTCTCTTTCTCACTAGATAAAAGGATCAGAGTAGAAATATATACAATTGCCAGAACCTCTGTATAATAGAAGAGTAAGGATTAACACAGAATGTCTTTCCTAAAACAAAACTACAGCCCAATATGTACCTTTGCATTTCCACTTTCAGCCTGAACAATGCAGCAAAAATTTCATCCCAACAAGTCTTTGTGCACAATTTTTAATAATTAAATTATAGTTAAGGCCAGTCCTTGGTCAGGTTCTTGACAACATTCAAGCCAGGTTTTTACCAAACTTTATAGTCAGTGGAATAAAGTGGAATTGATAGGCCTAAAAGAATAAATATTTTCAAATGACCTTTGTGCTTATCATATACAGAGAATTATTGAGCTAGGAAAGCTCTTCCCTTAAAAAATGCTTATTAAGTGTTTAGAAGACCTATGAAAAGTCATTCCACAAATGTACATAAAATTTGAAAGCGTTACAGTAACACATTGTAAAATACCACAGCTTTCTCAAAAGTTATAATCAACTTGGAGATTATAAAAATACTTTATAATCCTACATTGCTAAAAATAGCCTCCTTAAAATCAAGGGTTCCATTTCTGGTACATTATCGCAGCCCTCATGGGATCTGATGCAGTCACACTCTGGCTTCTTAGTAAAAACCATGGAGGATCATTACTTCATCAAATGAGCTTGTGACTAATTTTCCATATTAAATAAGATACATTTTCCAATACCTATAAGTATGGTCAACACCACCCTACACATTGACTTATGACTTTTGTTTTGCCAATGAAGAATGCTACTGTTAAGTATAGTCTTTGCATTCCAAAAAACAACAAAGGCTTTTCAATTAAAAAAAAAAAAACACCTGAAGTTTATATTGCAATTTGATTTATGTCAACATGCCTGAAAGCTTTCCCACATTTTAACTCAGTAATATGGTTAAATACTAGTCTATGAGTATAAAGTGGGTTCTTAAATTCCAAAGACTTCATATATTTGTCTTTCTCTAACTTATTTTATTTAGCATAATACTCTCTAGCTCCATCCTTGTCATTGCAAAGGGCAAGATTTCATTCTTTTTGATGGCTGAGTAATATTCCGTGTGTGTGTGTGTGTGTGTGTGTGTGTGTGTGTGTGTGTGTATACATACCACCTCTTCTTATCCATTCAACAGTCAATGGACAGCTGGGCTCTTTACAAAATTTGGCTATTGTTGACAAGACAAATGATCATAGGGGGAAAGAAGAGAGAAGAAGACCAAGAAACAGTCTCTTAACTATAGAGAACAAACTGAGCATTACCAGATGGGTGGTGGGGGGGACCTGTTAAACAGGTGATGGGGTTAAGGAGTACACTTGTGATAAGCACCGGGTATTGTATATAAGTGTTGAATCACTAATTGTACACCTGAAACAAATATTTAAATTTTTTAAAAGAATATAATGTGGAAATAGGGGAAGCTTTATGACTAAATACTCATTCTAGCATTGTTTATAAAGGTGTTTTTTCTTTTAGATGTAAATTTATATTCAAAAGTTAAAGAACATCTGGGTTATAACTGATCTGAGGCAAATGTAACCAACCAAAAATGGAGGAATAGTTAAGTGAATGATGTATCTATTAATGCAACCATAGAAATTTATGTTCACAAAGACTTCATAATGGAATGTTAAATTACCTACAAAAGGGACAGAAAATGCATTATACATTAGGTGCATATAATTATATAATTTAAATATTTAAAGTCTATTGATAAAAAAAGAGTTACGGGGGAAAACAGCAAAATAAATTCTGCAAAAACTCTCACTCTTTTTCTATTTCCAGATATTTTCCAGGTTGGATCTAGGGTACATGCATTGCTTTCAAAATGGAGGGAAAATATGATTTTATTAAGGGAGCTGGAATGAGAAGGAAAACAAGCCTGATGTTTGGGGGCGGGGGGCGGCGGTTGGCGAAAGTTTGCAGGAAGTTAGCATAAGCCTCATTTACAGGCTCAAATTTGTTGATAAAGGTGATGGTATTCACTGATCCCTGCAAAGTGTTACTGTCAAGTGGAATTGACGCTTGGTCCCTCAAGCTCTCTCTGAGGTTGATATTGAGAAATAGTAAAAAAAAAATAAGAGGTGTTTTCCTATTGCTTTAACTCAACTCAGTAATTGCTGTTGCACTCCTGGACTCAACCACCTCCAAACCACATGTTTGCATTACCTGTGGCCTGTTTGGGGACAAGGAAATGCACTGTAGCTGAAGAATTCAAACATGCTAATCATCAGGCCCTAGAAAGGGTTAGCGCTATCCTACTTCTGATACACCCCTGTGTCAGGTGCTAATTAAATATATACCCAGTGGCTGGGGAAGAAACTGTTCCCTGAACTTGGGACAAACAACAACAAAGTATCACTTAGGGTTCTCTAAACCACAGAAATCAAGCATGTCTAACTTAGTCAAAACTAAAATTGATTGAAAAGTGAGTCCTTTACAGAAGAACAACTAATCATGTCTCCTGAAGAATACCAACCAGGATGGCACTGAATTTTCCATCAGTACCTCATGAGCAATCCCTTTTCTGAGAGCTACCACCTGAATGACTCCACTTGCACATCCAAACTGGAATCATTCCACCCATGATGAAAATTCTCAGGGAGGAAATAGAAGAGGATTGCCTGGGACCATGCGCTGATTCCTTTGGCCAGAAGAAAACCCCACCAGGATCCCATGGAATAGATGGCAGTTATTCCCCAACAGTAAGACTATCTTGGGGCTTGCCCTAGGTGGTGCCAGTTTCTATCGACTTTTCAGGAAGAACTATAAATAGCTTTATGTTCACTCACGAAAATGTCCAAGTTTAGATAACATATTAGCATGATCACTCTCCACAAAGGAAAAATAGGGCGTTGTTACCAAAGAGGGGGAAGTGGATGCTGAGCAGATGAAAATAGAATGAAACTATTAGTAGGAGCTGAAGCAAAGCATTTGCTCCCAATCTCTCAGGTCAAAAGATAAGAATCAGAGTCAAAAGCCCTTATCAGGCTTTTGCTTCTGACTCCAACATAAAATTAACATTCCTTTACTTGAGTAACTGTTGAATTATGACTTTAAGCCAATAGTTCCATCTCCTCATCTTCCTATGTCCTTGCAGCTAAATCCAGAAATGTTCAAGTGTTCCTCTTTTGCTGCTGCTTTTTTAGCTTAATTGGTGCCCTCCTGCTTTCCAAAATAGAATGCTAACATCCACTCACCCAGCTGGAGGAGGGTCGGGGTGATACCGGATCCAATATTCCCCAAAGCATGTGTGGGATGGTTGCTGCATCCCTGCTGCTGACTAATAATAAGGAGTCAAAAAGCACCTTTTGATTTTGATTTCCTCCGAGAGGCTGTTCTACAAGCATGGGGTCAACTTAAAGGAAAAAGGGTTTTTGTTTAATATTTTCTCCTTTCATTAACGCACTTAAATTACTTTCTTACAAACTCTGCTTGTTACCTAAATGTACTAGCACTTTTCGTTACCTAATTAGCTTTCTTATCAGAATTCCAACCAAAAATAACAAGAAATGTAATAATGATAAGGTATTCTGCCCCTTCAAAACAGATTTCCTTCCGCGCTTTATCTCTTGGTGCTGTTCTGGCTTGTTTAATTAAAGTATCAGAAATTATTAGGCTCAAATTATTTCTTGATCTAGTGCTCAAATTCTCCCGAAAAACTGCTTCTTTTGCCTCAGTATTTAAACCTTTATCAGTGTGAGACAGATGAGTTTCCACACATATGCAACAAGATTCATGTAATACAATATACGTTTGGAGGAAGAGCCTAATTAGCCTCCAAATAATTAGACAAACAAATCAGATTTGGCTACTCTGGGCTACCATGAACGTTTAAATCCTTGTGTCTCCTCTCCTGTGCTCCCCAACATTAATGTGCAAAAAGAACCTTGCGAAACTTTAGCATGGAGCTGTGAAATTCAAAGCAGAGATCTTATTTATTTTTTCATTTGGAGGGTGGGAGTAAGAAAATCACCCAGTTCAAAACACTGACATAAGTTGTATTCGAGAAGGGGAGTCATGTCTGTTACAGATTTGAAAATAACGGATGAGAAAGTATCCTTACATCACAGCACTGAGAAGGAGAAAACTATAAGGCAACCTGGTTATTTCTCTTCGGGATATACTGTGAAAAAAATTTGGGTTGGAATCTGCTTGCTTCTGGTGGAGATGTGTGAGAGGTTCACTTTCTTTGAAGTTGTCTGCAATATGATCCCCTTTTGCACTGTCAAGCTTGGCTATCCCAATTACCAAGCAGCCATTTTGAACTTGTGTTTTATTGGAACTTCAGTACTTAGCCCAGTGTTTGCAGGATGGCTTGCTGATGTCTGTCTAGGAAGAAACAAACTGGTATATGTTTGCTTATGTCTACATTTTCTGGGTGAGTGTCCTTCTGGCTGGATCGTTTTGCAACTTAGTTGAATAGATTTTTGTTAGAATTTTTACTCTCTGTTATCTTTATCTTGTTCTTAGTGTAAAATGTGATAAATGAAGTAAGAATGTTGTTTCAATTTGCTTTATTCTCTGTATTATTTGGGGGATGTTAGTAAATGTATGTGCGTGTGTGTGTGTGTGGATATGTGGATGCTTTGATACCTATATTGTTGTACTGATTGTATTTTATAATAATTATCTCTTTACATATCTATCTTCTGTACTCCTCAAACACACTTCTTTTCCCCCTTGCTACTCCAAGCCCAAATTTGTGACAAATTCTAAATGAAACATGAGGTTCATTTGCTTCACAACTAAGATGAAGTGTGCTAAAAAGATTTTTGAAGTTCATGTAAAATAATTGAAGAATGTTCTCATCAAAAGGTGGTTTTTAATTAGTCATATAGTAATTAAGGTTGCATATGAAGGTATGATTTCTATATTATGAACTATGGTTACATGCTAAATACATTAATAAATTCAAACACTACAGTAGGCTTCTTTGCATAGAGAAAAATAAATATACCTACAAAACTTTGGGAGTGAAGTGATTGTGAGAAATGTTGGAGAAATGTCAAGATTGTTTGATAAGGTATAGAGAGTGAGTTGATGAACAGTCTAGAATTTTGGACTAAAAAGTTCAGTTGTTCTTCTGGATAACAAGGAGTTACTGAAGATATGATGAAAATATCTGGGAAATGTTTTTTCTTCAATAAACAAGATAGGCAACCAAAGTGAGAGGTTAAATAGAGGGAGATCAGAATACCTCAGGAGCATGGACTAGGAGAAGTGTCAATCCAGGAGAAAGCATATGAAAAACTAAAAACATGGCAACTAAACAAGAGCACAAATATTATGAGGAACAAAAATTAACTCCAAGTTTCTGAGCTGAGGAACTTAGGAAGTGAGTATGTGGTTCACCGATACTGAGAAATGTAGCAGAAATGCAAGTGTGGGGAGACAAGGGAAGAGATAAATGAGTGAGGGATGAATATCGAGTATTCAACAAACCCCCCAATAAATTGCCATTCACCATTCATCAATTAGATTGTGATCCAAACATAACTCATCAGTTTTGTTAAGTAAAAATGAAGTCACTGCATGGCAAATATTCATTCAACATTCAGCAAATATTCTTCAGTGGCCACTCAGTGCCAGGCATTGTCCCAGGATCTGAGAATGCAACAGAAAAGAAAGCAATCTCTTTTTACCAAAGTTGACTTTCCAGTGTGGAAAAGAGAAAACAAATAAGCAAAAGATATTATGTAAGGTGTTCAGGAGTATTATGATGAAAAATATAGGTGGGTACGGGACAGAACAGACTAGACAGTGACATGGTTGCTGTTCTGTATCAGGGAATGTTTTCTGATGAGGAGTCATTTAAGTTAGTGTCTGAATGATTTACTTTTCTCAAATTGGGAACAGGCCATATCCACGGTACTTGGCAACTTCTTATTTAACATGGCAATTCCTATCAGCCTAAATTCCTGTGTAAGCATCAGACTAGAATTGAGTCCAAATTTTGGAGTTTGACAAACAAAAGACCTAAGTCAGATCCATAGCCATTCATTTTCTTACTAAAAGCTATTTCCTTGTGCTCCTTACTCATGGCTGCCATCAAATTCTAACCAATCACTGAGTATCAGAGTTTCTATAAAAAAAAATGTGTCTTTTGTTTCAAATGCTAACCCCTTAGCTCAAAATCCAGCTTTCTTTTTCAAGGCCATTACAATGGCCTGCTTACTGGGCTATCAGATAATCAGTGTGACTCCAATCCATATACCTTCCTACTCACAACATTGACTTGCTCAAAGAATACATCTATATATTGGCTCTCTTGCCTAAAAAACAGTACCTAATTTAGTTCATAAGAATCTTTACAATCTGTCCCAAATTTACCTTACCAGACTTTTGTCTCATACATGACCTCAACCATGCTGAAGTTCTTACTTGCCTCTAATCCCCTACTTCTCTGCTGTTACTTATACTTTTTTCTATGCCTGAATTTATCAACCTTCCTTTATCTGTCGACCCCATAGCCAAGACAAGAAAAATCCTGTCCTCCCTTTAAGACCCAAGGTGTTCAACCACATTCTAATCATACCTCTACAATTTCACTTACCACATTATAATTTCCATCTGCATGTCTGTCTTCTACGATGGACTTGTTAGCTCCTGGAGTGGAAAGTCAGCTGTCCCCCACCACCTAGCAGAAGATATGACACTCCTGGTGTTTTATACAGAGCTACTAAGGATATGTGCTGATTTTGTAGTGCACAATAGCACACATCGAAGAGACTCTATCATACATGTCATAGACTTGTATTTTTATTACTTCAGTTTTATAACAGATAAAAATAAAGTTTTGATCTAATGCAATCAGTATATTATGACATTTTCTCAAGAGATGGAAGTAGAGTGCCTTCTTAATTTACACAAAGGTAACACTAAAATGCTTTGTCTTTAAATATATGGCTGCTGTGAGAAGTAACTCCTCTGCCCATCTCCTTTGGCTAACCCTTAGCCTAAGCAGGCTTCACATCACACTTCCAGAGACAAGGAGGATTGAGGGGCAGAGAGAAAGCAGTTGGGATCATATTTGGCCAAACTTAATAAGAAACATTTCAAACTCACGAACTTACAGGGCCTACTCTCATGATAAATCATTTTGTTTCCACATCCTGAGTATACATATTCTTCAGATTGTAAAGTCCACTATAAGGGAGAGAAAACATTAGACCTAATTTCTCCCTTTAAGAAACTTATAGTCCAAATGAGAAAACTAAGCACATACAGCCACCATTTAAAAATAAATAAATAATAATAATAATAAAATATAAAAAATAAATAAATAAAATAAAATAAAATCAGGGGATCCCTGGGTGGCTCAGTGGTTTGGCACCTGCCTTTGGCCCAGGGCGCGATCCTGGAGTCCCAGGATCGAGTCCCGCGTGGGGCTCCCTGCATGGAGCCTGCTTCTCCTTCCTCCTGTGTCTCTGCCTCTCTCTCTCTCTCTATATATATATCATAAACAAATAAAAATAAATCTTTTAAAAAAAATCATACCAGCACCTAGGTGGCTCAATTGGTTGAGTGTCTGCCTTTGGCTTAAATCATGATCCCAGGGTCCTGGATTTGAGTCCGGAATAGGACTCCCTGCTCAGCAGGGAGCCTGCTTCTCCATCTCCTCCTTGCTCATGCTCTCTCACTATCTCTATCTCGCAAATAAATAAATAAAATCTTTTTTAAAAATTAAAAATAAAAAAATCATACCAAAAATATGAATGCTAAATCAATAAAATGGAGGACAAAAGTAATAGGGAGAAGCCATTTTTCACTAATCAAATTGACAAAAAAAAAAAAAAAAGATGATTTGACCAGTTGACGAGAATTACAAAAAGTGGCAGATTATATCTGGGTTACTCTGTAACATTGGGAAAGCCACTTAATCTCACCAAACCTGAGTTGTGTTTTTTTTTTTTAATTGGAATAAGAAAATCTATCTTCTGACATCACAAAGGTTTTCCAAGATGAAACAACATAATACATGCAAATGTTTTACAGAATTTAAAGATCTTAGCAGAAGTATGGAATTGAATTATAATTTCTATTAAACAAGGAAGTGTTGTATAACAAGAAATTATAATTTCTATTAAACTCCATCCCTGAGAGATGGAGTTGAGAAGAGGCTCACCACCCACTCCTTGTCCTTTCCTGTCCTCCTCTTCTCCCGCCCTGTACTGAATCACCCACCTCACCTTCTCACCTTTGTGTGTGCCAAGATGGCTCTGCTCAGTGGCATAAGAAGTGAGAGAAATCAAAGGGCAGGAAAAGGAGAAAGAGAAGTAGAAAAAGAAAAGAGATCTATATTCTTCTTACCACTATGATAATGTTCTCTGTAAAACATTTTCTTTAACAGGCTCCTTATAAGTCTGAGATCTTCAAATTTTCTATCTCTCTAGTGATTGAGAACAAATAACCCTTACTAACAGTGGTTTTCTCTGGGGGTGAGATTACAGGCATCTCTCATTTCTTATATATTTCCAAATTTTGTTAGAATGGACATGGTTTGCTTATACATTCTGAGAGAGGAGATAGTCAAGTTAAGGGGGGGAATTATTAGGCCTCTGGATGAATTAAAACACCTATTGAAATTTTTCACATTTAGGAAATCATGCTATCTCCAGAACTGCAGTGACTAACAAATATCTCAATGAAAAAAATCACATAAGGATGCTACTTTCAGAGAAAAACCTTATTTATAATGCCATTTGGTGATTCAGTTGGTCTATGCCATATTTATTCTCCTTTTTTCTCTACCTACAGGCTCTGCTTTGTTATCTGTGGTTGCTTTTCCCTTGGAAGATTTCTATATAGGCACTTACCATATGATTAACAATATACCAAAAAAAGAGCAGAGCAGGCTGTTTTACATAGCGCTATTAGCCATCTGCCTTGGCACAGGAGGAATGAGAGCCATCGTCTGCCCACTGAGTGCTTACAGCCTTCAGGAGTATGGATCCCAGAAACAGGTGTCTTTTTTTAACTGGTAAGCATCACTGGCCAGGAAAGAAATGAGCCTTATGACATTTCTCCTCTTCTGAGATTTCTCATTGTTTGCTCTCTGCTCCCATTTTGATGGTAGTAATTCACTGTTTGTCATTGACTGGCCTTGGTAAAGTGATGACGTGACAGTGCCTATGACAATGATTCAGCCAGTAACTGTGAGAGTCTATGAGTCAGGTACAGACCAACACAGCTTACCAGCGCCTTCCTAAAACACATAGATAAATTATAAACAAATGTGAGGTGGCTTGTCATACTAAATAGAAGGTGGCTTTGGAGCCAAATAAGCCTTTACTCTACTTAACACAAGCTATCTGACCTTGGTCAAGTCATTTATTCTCAAAAAGTTTCAGCTTAATCATTTGTAAAAGGTTATAATACCTCTTCTTGGGTTTTATTAGAGGCAATAAGATGTGTCTTGCAGCCAGAGAAATTGGCACATAGTAGGTGAAAATAAGTGGTAGCTATTACTAGTTCTGCCTACACTGGAAGAGACTAATATTTGGCAGAGATTATAAATTCACAGGATAGTGCAGAGAAGATAAAGAGGATAGAGAAAAGTATTTTATAATTTGTGGAAACATCAACCAGCAACTCTGTTTTGTATCCACTTTGCCCTTAACATCTAAAAGAGTTTGTATTCCACAAAAATCAAACTGCTGTTCTGTGAATCTTTTTCTCTCCAAGTTCTTAGACAGTTTTCTGTGGTTTTAAGTAATCGATTTTTTATTATCAAATACAAATTCAAAAAAATAATTTTGATCTTTACATAGAGTACTTCAGTGTTTAGTACGGAATTTTGTTGTTATTATTATTTGTCAGTGGATGTCAAGTAGATCTGAGATACATTCTTTTGTTCCCTCTTTTCTGTGAAGTGAGTTGTCAACATTTTTCTAACTATTCTGTCTTTCTCCCAGTGTTAGCAATGGAAAAAAAAAATCAATGCACAGACAGAATCAGACAAAACATTTAAAGAAAATTCATATTTAAAGCAGCATTAAATGAAAGAATTTAGAATAAATAATCTAGGTATATATAACTATCCAAGGCAGTTTCTTTCTTTCCTTCTTTCTTTCTCTCTCCCTTTCTTTCTTTCTTTCTCTTTCTTTCTTTCTTCTTTCTTTCTCTTTTTTTCTTTCTCTTTTTCTCTTTCTCTTTCTCTTTCTCTCCACCCCCCCCAATTATATTAATATTACAAAGCACTCAGGCCTATTTTGGATTCAGTCCAAACGTCAGAAAATAATGCAGTTTTACCAAAGGTGGAAGGGACTCTCTACTTCCTTATAGCAAATTATGCCTCCTTGACCGGCCCAAAGGAGAAAGAAAAATCCTTCTTTTTTATTCTATTCGGAGGTTTTAATCCTTAATTAGCAACATCATTTTGATTAAATAAGACTCTAGAGGATTAAGACTGGAGAGCAATCAGTTGTTCTGAAAGATAGCTCTGGAGAATTTATTGTACTGTGGTCTTAATCATTCAGAGTTGTGTTTAATCAAAGTGACATTTCTCAGTGTTGATTACAAAGGAGACATTATATGAATGAAATATTTCCTTTGGGAAAGGGGGGACTCCCAATGAGTTTGTACTTTAGGCCTTTAAAGGGGGATGGGGAGTAGGGTGAAAATGAATTTCTGCAGCAGTGAGGAGCCAGGCCAAATTTAGAATGAACGCATTTCAATGTGGTTTCTTATTCTTTCCTAATTTCACTAAAATCTCTAATAAAAGGTATCATGCAGGGGTGCCTGGGTGACTCTGCTGGTTGAGCATCTGACTCTTAAGTTTTTGACTCAGGTCATGATCTCAGGGTCAAGACATCTAGCCCACATTGCATCAGCTCCATGCTCAGTGGGGAGTCTGTTAGAGGTCCTCTCTTTCCCCGCCACCTCCCCCTTCCCACCATGCTCAAGTGCTTTCTCTCTTTTTCTCTCTCTCCCTAAAATTAAATAGATAATAAAAATAATCATGCAGAGTTTTTAAAACCTAAAGTTAAAGCACCTAGAAATGTGCATGGGGAATCAAGGTGTTACTTTTTAATGTGGTAAAGGATTCTCTGGATGGTAAGCTTCTTGAAGGCTGAATCTGCTTGTTACAGGTTTTTTGGTAGTTTGTTTTGGAGGGTTTTTAAAATCATAATACCAACCTACAGGGAAATTTCTCTGGGCAACTGCTTTTTGTAATTTATAGAAAAGAATGCTAACTCTATTGGTATACATACTGCAGGGGTGGGTAGCAAGATGGACAGAGACACTTACAGAAGACAGAAGGGACAGGATCCCAGCTCTGTCACAGGAGTTTTATGCTTTTCGGCAAGTCCCTTTACTTCTCAGAGCACCAGTATCTCATCCACAAAACGAGAATACTCTGGAGGGCATTTGTATAGCTTATAAATAAAGTATCCTAGCACATCATAGATACTCAAATTCTGATAGCTATTATTATTAAATGACAAATCAGCTAAAATCATTGTCTAAATTCTGTGTAACGGAGGGGGACACTTGACGGGATGAGCACTGGGTGTTATTCTGTATGTTGGTAAATTGAACACCAATAAAAATTAATTTATAAAAAAAAAAATAAAAATAAATTCTGTGTAAGAGGGAACCCATTTAGGAGGAGGCCATCTTTAAATGGGCAGTGCCTTAATTTAAAATCTATTCTCCAAGTAAAAAATGCTTCTAGAAATCACAAGCTTGGTTAATATAATGCATTTCAGTAGTGTCTTTAAAAAACAGCATACCACTTGAATCTGTAACCGCTTGAAAGTTGCATCCAGTTCTATTTTCAGCACAGATGTCAGATGTTCCTAGTCACAGGACCTTTAATGAGATGTGTCATTGCATCTATACCACCTAAAGCTTCCCAGTGATTATGTTAAATAGTATAGACTGGAAGTCTCGAGCATTGAAAGCACCACTTCCGAATAGAGCTGCCAAGTGTAGGTGAGAAAACCACTCCCAGCCAACATTACCATCTGGTACTGGATCTTCCTCAAGTATGTACCTTATTGAAAGAATAAAGCTAAACTCCCTGAAATCAAGAGGCATAATAATCTTCCAACATCCTTGTGCTGTTATCTAGATTAGAACCTGAATCTTCCAGCATTTTCCAAAATCTGAGGTGTGCAATTAAGAGTCACCACATTGGAGATCATCTAGGTAAATACACCTGTGCAGAATCTTTTCTGGAAGCAAAAAGAAAGGTGGATAATTAAGTCTGTCTATAACCATAATTTTAAATTCTACTGCAATTAACTTCAAATCTTGCTTCCACATTTCTCTACTTACTTCACCTGGTAATTTGCATCTGATCTGCATATCATAGTCTGTTCCTAACCAGTTACCAGAGTGAATTATACATGATTTAAAAGTCCAAATAGAATATTGGTAGAGTTTGAAAAAAATCTAGAGACTGACTTATTCTATTCCAGAAATTTTAAATATCTGGTACACAGATTGATTCTACATAACATTTGTCTCACACTAAAATATTCTGATGTTAATACTTGAATTTAATAACTTTTATATTAGGGAGACATTAGAGGTAAGAATTTATTATCCCAGAGAATTTCTTTTCAGAAGCTGTTTTACTATTCACTTGTTATTTGAAAGCAGCAATTCTCAATCCTAGATGGACATACCCCCTGAAGACTCAAAAATACTGATTCCTGGGCCTCAATATCAAAAGCCCAAAATATATTGGTCTGTGATGAGTTCCAAAGACCAGGATTTTTTGCTTTCTTAAGTTGCCTAAGTAGTCAGGTTTAAGAACTACTGCTCTCAAGTAGTCATCTAATTTTGAGAATCACTTAAGTGCTTTATTTAAAAATGTTTCCCAGGCCCACCTGCAACATCCAAAATCAGAATTTTCTGGAAGCATAGCTGTTAGTGCAAACGATTTTTATCAAGTGCTTCAGAATTTTGAAAACAATTCCAGAGGTATAAGGAAACGGGATACTAATGTGGTCTAGAGATAATTTTGAGAAGAAATGGAACGGGACATTTTTTGAGTGCACATATTGGATGCTGCGTGGCTTTGGAAAGTTTTGACAATTCCCAGCAATTTTTCACCACACTTAGAAATATATCTGGTTCAGAGATCCTACCTAATCCTTGAGAAGAGAAAAGAAATAGAAATCTACTTAATTCTGCACTAGTAAAATCATAATTTATAAGGTATATTTCAGCCAACAAATTCAAAGCAGTTCATAGAATAATTGTATTAATACTCAGAATATCATCTGAGGTGCATACTGAGGGATAGCCTGTAAATAGCTTTAAAAAAAATCACTAAACCTTCCAAAATTCTATTTGCATGGGCTCTAGCCAAGTTGAACAAATGCTACCCACCCACTCTAATAACAACAGTCACCTCCTTCCTTAACCTTTGCCAAAATTGTAAGCTTTCAGGAAATACACTCAGAATTCCTCTCCAACATATAACTGGGGAAACCAAAGAATATTAAGGAAAGAGAAACAAGAAAGAAAGAAAGAAAGAAAGAAAGAAAGAAAGAAAGAAAGAAAGAAAGAAAGACACATTTTTTATGTGGCTTACTGCTCTTTCTTTTTCTTAAGCCCTGCTTGGTTGGTATTCAACTTGGTAGGTACATGACTAGGGGCTTATTTTCATCAACAAACATGCAGTGTTCTAAAAATCTTAAATTAAGGAAATAAGAAAGTGATATATAGGAACAACTGTTATGGTTGTTGAAGGAAAAAAGGAGGGGGATTCAAGAGAGAAAAAGAATAGAGTAAGTTAAAAGAAGGAGAGGCAAGGAGAGTAAGAGATAAAGAGTGAGACATTCTCCTAAATTTCTTAATTAAAAATATTCCTTTTGGGATCCCTGGGTGGCGCAGCGGTTTGGCGCCTGCCTTTGGCCGAGGGCACGATCCTGGAGACCCGGGATCGAATCCCACGTTGGGCTCCCAGTGCATGGAGCCTGCTTCTCCCTCTGCCTATGTCTCTGCCTCTCTCTCTTTCTCTCT